CTAAAGTTCATGCTAGCTGGGGGAAAACTTGAATGCCAGCATGGGTGCTACTTACAACACATTACACAAATTGTAAGGCACATTATGCGAGACCAAACAATTGGTACTGTGCCAAAACATGCAAGCTCCTAGCTACTTCGAATGAGAGTTCATGAACCGAACTATGTATTGCTCTCAGGTTTAAAAACAGATTCATTTTTTTTATTTACATAGATTTGTGAGCATTGGACAGAAAGCATGTAAATTACAAGGATCCTTTGCTAATGAAACAAAAACGTAAAGTTAATACAGGTACTACTAACAAATACAAAACCTTTATTAGACATAAAATGAAAAAGGCTGGCGCACCAATAGTACCTGCTATAATGTTAAATGTGATAAATCAGATCTTCCAGACAGTGCAGATTCATTTCTAATAAGTTTCATAAGTTTACAAGCTTACATGCTTCCTAAGTATTCTTATTGCCTGGCAACCTAGAAAACCTGTTTACCTTAAATCAATTACGTTTGCAAGGGCTAAATTTCATATAGTAGGAGGTGGAGAGGTTTGATGGTGTTTTAAGCTTGCATTTGAATTAACTGCTGTGATACAGTAATGCAATGAATATGGCAGAAGCTCACCTGTAATAAGTAACTGTGAAAATGGCAAACATAAAACCACATAATTTCACGATTAACAGAATTTATGAAGTCTGACAGTCACAAATGACAGGACTAGCGGCATATAGATTATACAGGGTTAGTCATTAAATCATGACGTCAACACAATCATTTCTTTCATTAGTTTGAGCTTAGAGGGTACTTATTTGGGGCTTCATCTAGTAAGAGAACAAGTAGTGATAGGTTGGTGGCATTTAATGTGACAAGGATAGTCACTCTTTTCTAGAGGCAGCAATTTTGGAAATGCAATAATTTTTCTTAAGTACAGCCCTAGAGGGTACTGCTTTAAGGTATCATTTGGTAATAAATTGGTACATGTAACAGGTAGTGATGAGTTGGTCAGGCCTAGGAAAAAAAATGTTGTGTTTTCTGTTTCCCAACCGACTCTAGAAAAATCCGCCGACACTAGCCTTTTTTTGGGTGTAGACCCCTGCAAGGGACATTTTTCGAACTGATCAACCTTTTCTAGCTCCATGATCTGACACCTGAATTATAAAACATTGTACCATTCATTTTCTTTCTGACATCGAAAATAAAAGTGTCCTCATGCAAGTTTTACTATAATAATGTTAAACTGTATTGTATAAGTTGGACCCCTATATAGATATCACTGAAGTCTAAAAAAATTGTTTAAAAAAGAACAAAAAAAGATAATCCCTACCTACGGACCCTAATAATTTTTTCCGGACTGAAACAGGAAACACTACCGTTTTTTTTCCTAGGCCTCACGTTTTATGTAGGTCAACTGTGTTGCTCATCTGTTGTTAAGCTAGGATGGACACTCAGCCATGCGCTGGTGGGGGCAATTTTAGAAAATTGCTTTTCGAAGTAAAACTGAGCGTCCAATTAAGTTTTCCGAGAAGGAGGAGCATTTGGGACTGGGTATCATTCAAATCAGGCTCTCGCACGCAAAAACTGGATTAATTCTTCTCTAAAGAACCATCCTGAAGGGAAAAACTAGATTATTTTGTAATTTAGAGTGTCTGAAAACAATTTGCTTCTGATCAGAATCTGTGCTATATCTTATTACTGTAAAAACTGTTGCTAGTGACTTCATCAGTCACCCTGATGAAAAGGAGAAGTTTAAAGTCATTTATATAATTATAATAACACTCTACATGTAGGTATGAGATCTGACATATTTAACAGTGAGAATATAATAGAGGAAATATTTAGAATTTTTGTGAACTTCTTGTTGTATTCATTATTGATTTTAATATTCATGATTGCATTCATGCATTTTCCTACTGACTCTCAGTTGAAGAGCCTAAAGCTGGAACTTCTAAAAGTGCTTGACATTGGAAACTATGCTTAAGTTTACTTCAAGTGACCTAAATACATAATAACAAGCTTGTGTCTGCTGTAATGCCGGAAAGCAAACCCTCTTGATCAAGTACCAACAACGTACAGCATAATCCATTGAAGTACTGAGTAAGAACTCTTATATAACTAGAAAGGCCGACATTTGCTTAGGAGCAAATGCAGCAGATGGCTTCACCACATCCCCCATACCGAAAATGGATCTATCCCACGATGGCTGCCAATAGTCTATACCCCCATGCAGCAATGGAATCTTCCAATGCCGGAAATAGCCAAAAAGCCCTATTTTACATAATTTTAAAGTGGTGTATGTCAAAAGCGTGAATGACATTCTTTGGACATGTGTCCAAGGTATCCCCATACCGAATTTCAGGTCATTCCGATTTAATATTAGGGCACAGGAGCCAAAAATGTACATTTTTGGTCCAAAAATAGCCAAAAAGCCCTATTTTTCACAATTTTAAAGTGGTGTATGTCAAAAGCTTGAATTAGGTTTTGCAGACATATGTCCAACGTATCCCCATACCAAATTTCAGGTCATTTGGTTTTAGTACCAGGGCTCCAGATCCCAAAATGTATATTTTTTGCCTGAAAATGGCCAAAAAACCCAAATAAAACAATTTTTCAAAAAAATGAAAAAAAGGCGTCTGGGTATTGGCCCACTCTACGTCCATGCCAAATTTCAGGTCATTTGGCTGAAAAACGGCTGAGTTGAATCCCTTTAAAGAAATGGCAGGAGGAGGAGAAGGAGAAACATGAGGGAACACAATATGTCTTCACCACTTTGTGGTGAAGCCATAATAACTCTGGTTAAAACTCAATCGGAAAGCCTTGAAGTCGTGAGTCAAGTTAATTTAGAATGGATTTAGGCCACACTCTCAAACTGGCTTTGTGTATTGACTCTTACCTTCCTCAGAGCTTCTATCCTATCATACATGTAATACTGATTGGCCATTTAGTTTCTTGTTTCCTAAATTTGCCTGCTCCAGTCTTTTTATTTGAAAAAAGCAAACAACATATTGTGCACATCAGTGAATAGTCTCATGTACAATATTCAGGTTCTGACAATACCTCCAAAATGCTCCTAGAATTATATAAGACAGACAGAGAGACAAACCCACAACTAACTCAGTCACCGAGAACAATACTTTAGAATCTGTAAAATGAACAGTCAGTATCAAAGTCGACCATAGAATAAGGCTACTATATCCAAAAATGAGTTTCATGAGTCATTGAAACAAAATTTGTCACGCATCCAGGATCTTGTTTTCTCACTTATAGATCAAAGGCAGCTACCACAGAAGCAATATATCCAGTAAGTATCATTCAGCATTAGGATCTAACACTGTTATAAAACCTTGCATTAGTGACCAAATTGTACTGTAATTACAAGTGACTTTCTGTCTTAACAAATCTTAATATGATGTCTATTGGTCTTAATTACAAAATTTGTGAATCTTATTTATTACTATGTGATTGTGACAAGAATCTGGTGTTTTTTTGTGTCTAATTCTTGGCACTAAGAAAATCAATGCTTCTCAAATTATCTATCACGAGTGATAATTGGACTTCTTTATAATATTATTCATTTTGTGCATGAATGCACAAATTATATGTACTCCATATAATCATGTGTTGGGGATATGATGATTTCATGGTAGACAGGCCAGAAATAACAAACTAATTTCTAATCTAGGAGCAAATCTTTTTCTACATGTAGCTGTAAGACAACATCAAATTGGCAAGACAGTTATCATTTGCCACCCAGCTGGCAAAAAAAAAACAGTACAAAAAAAAACTGATAAAATGTCTAAAATGTCAAAAACAAGCCAAAGCCTAAACCTTCGCTTAGAGAGCAAAATATTTTAAAATTTTGTAATACAATAAAAACTTTATAATACTATATAACATGAAACAATTCTCCTCTAAAAAGGATCAAAATCAAATTGGCCAGACAGTTACCATTTGCCACCTGGCTGGCATAAGAAAAGATACCAGTACCAAAAAGGTTTATGGTATGATACCATAAAAAACAGAATAAATCTCCTCTAGAAAAAAGATCCTGACCTTCTAATTCAATCAAAAAGTATCCTGGCAGACAACTTCTGACTTTTCCATTGTGCAAAAGAGATGGAAATCATTTCAAATAACACTCACAAAACCCCTGAGTATTAAAACACTGGTAAGTATGTAACGTATTAGCCTGTATACAGAATTATTAGCCACTTATAAAAGGCCTTTCAGACAGCCTGGAGCCAGCAATGAAACAACCAGTTAGATTGCATTGCTTTATGAAGTTATGGTGAATTGTTAAGTTGACATTTGATTCCATTTTACAAGCTGCGTATTATTACAGTTGTACTGAAAGGCATGTCAAAGTCATTGTCAGTGTTGTATATCACTGCTTGTTATGTGTGATGGTTCTCTGTTATTAGTATAAAGTGCTAGAATTCTGCTATAATAATGAATCAGATGGTTAGTAATAATAAAAAAATGTAGGTACAGAATGGAGTGAAGCAAAACTTGGGTCCAAATGGAGACCTCCTGTAACAACTGAGTGAAGACACAGAAACTAATTTAAAAGTGGTATATTGTCAATGTCATGTGTCACAATCATCGGGAGTAGCCAAATTATAATACAAGGAACGGTACAGGGAGAAAGAAAGAGGAATTAACTATATGTAGTATTGGCAATGGAAAAGATGGGACGATATGATCAAGAAAGAATAGACCAGTACATCACTAAGTGGAAGGTAGGACTGGTAATACAAACACAAATGAATTTAGTACATACTGTTGATCAATCTTAAATTACCTGATTGATTGATTGATTGATTTTGTGTCCTGTAAGTTTTTCCAACAAACGAATACCAAGCATTACAAAGTTTAAACTACATTTTATTGTAAGTCTTACAAATGAACTTAATAATATGCTGTTGATTGATTGATTGTTTGTTTGGTTGTTTGTTTGATTGATTGATTATTGGTTATTGATTAATTGATTGATCCTTTGACAGTACTTACTTGGTCCTGATGCAGTGCTCTAATGGTGGGACCAGCTCACCCTCTCCTGGTGGCTCATACGGATGCAAGTTGTCTACAGTCAAACAAAAAAGGGAAAAAATAATAATTAATCACCGAAAGATAAACCTGAATGATTCCATAAGGAAAATTAAATGGTTCTCTGACTCAAGTCAAACACAAAATTTTAGATTTCTGTATATTATGCTGTCGTCTTTGTCACGTGTATCTATGTCTATGGGCTCTGCTCAGAATTTCCTGGGATTGTGCAGATTGTCCAGATTTAATCTTTTAATTCCAAGGATTCATTAAAATATACAAGGAAGTTTCCATGATACACACTTGGAGCTAGGACATTCCCTCGATTGATAAATAATACATCACTGTCTTATTTTTCTCAGAAATATATTATATGCTTTTAACTTCAGCTTATTGTCAAAGGAGCCATGATGAAAATGTCTTATGTGTGGTATTGACACGCTCCTTTGACAATTCAGTTTGAAATTCCAAGAAATGCTATCCTTGACGACAATATATGGATGCAGGTGCGACCATAAACATAAAACACATCATAAAGGGACCCTCTTCAGTTATTACATAACATGGATTATAGAGTCAGTCTATAATTTTCAAATATCGGGATGTTCAAAATAAATATTCTTGAGAGAGAGAAGGCCTTGATTTTTTTATGTGCCAGTCTTTTACCCCAATAGATCTATATCTGTATCTGTATACCCGGTATAACCGCCTTTCGGCGTAACACACCAGCTACATATATACATGTAGTGCTGAGAGCTAATGTTATATAATCCATGCATATTTTTCAGCAAAGTACAGTTTTTGCAGGTGTGTACTGAAGGCATGCTGATTAAGGTTGAATGGCTGTTATCAAGGAAAAAGCACTTAGGGCGAACAGATTTACTTTACTGAATCTATTACAGACTGAGTATAGCTTAAAAGCCCAAATCACGAATATCCCATCACAAAAATGTGCTTTCAAAAGGGTTGATGACCTGTAGTTACATAATGTATAATAAATTATGCTGGTGTCACACGGTCAGTCACCTTTGAACAAATTTGCTGATGCATATGCATGCCTTAAAGGTTGATGAATTTCAAAATTTCCAGGGAGTCAACTGCATTTTTTCATAATTAAGGCCCCCCTCAAACATCAGCCAATCACTTAAAATGTAGGTTTGTTGATGGCAAAAAGGATAAAGAATTTCAACGTCACCAGAGAGTCAACTTTTTTTTTCTAATTTAGACAGGGTCAGTCGTCTGCAAATCTTGGCCAATCCCCAAAAATCAGTGAGAAAAACTGGAAAAATTCCAGCCAAAAATGTCCTTTGAGCTTCCAAGACTCGATAAAAGCCTCACAGCTGGAAATTGAGTCTTCTGCATGTATGTAAGTTAATTTTGAAACCCTGACCTTTTTCCTGGAGGAACCCATCCATTAAATGGCTTTAACATTAGGCCTAGGAATAAAAAGATTGTGTTTCATGTTTCCTGACCGACCCTAGAAAAAACTGCCGACCCTAGACTTCTTTTGTGGACCCCTGCAAGGGACATGCATGTTTCGAGCTGATCAATCTTTTCTAGCTCCATGATCTGACACCTGAGTGATGAAATGTTGTACAATCAGTTTTCCAACATTGACATTGAATATATACGTAAAACATAGTGTCCTCCTGCAAGTTTTACTTTGTTAACCTGGATAACTAGAGATCAACAGTCTAAAAAAAAAGTGAAAAGAAAAAGATAATCCCTACCAAACCTAATTTTTTCAAGACTGAAACAGGAAACACAACATTTATTTTCTAGGCCTTAGCACATCTGTAGGTCTTGCTGAATGAGGCTTATCACAGTTTCACAGATGGGGGATGCCTGATTTTTTATTGGCCTTCGGAAAAAGGTGTCAAATTTCCACGTTAAATGAATGACATGTAGCAGCTTGTAAGGTCATAAGTTAATCAAGACATACATTTGTACATGTACATGTCAGTAGATTAGCAAAGGCTTGTCACGTAACTGTTAGATTCAGTGTAAAGATTGCTGTAACTCAGAAAAGTTTATAATGAAAATTAAACTGTTTTCAACTCAAGAAAAATTGTGTCTACGTAGCACTCGGGTCAGAAAGCTGATGAAGATCGAATAATTTGGATGAAAATTCCTCGTGAGTCATTTTTCTTGAGTTCGAGAACAGTTTAATTTTCATTAATGTATTTGACCAACTCAGACGAACTTTCATGCTAACATCAGAAAAGTTGTTGCTTGCATTTTAAACTTGACTTAAGATGATGAAGACACATTTGCAGTGCCATAAATTTGCATTGAAGAGAAAAACTGCAAATTTCACAATTTGGTGTACTATGAACTGTGGATGAGATTTTCTGCCTTACAGCAAGAATCTGAATCATGGAAGCTTTCAACAGATGGACCTGTGCCATAATGGCCTAGAGTGGTGCAATTTGGTACTAACTCAGGTGACCCAAATATGACAGGAAATGAGCGATTGCCCCATATTTTCCCTTTTTCATCCACTTTACAGCAAAATGGACCCATGCATTTTTAAGAAATGTGCTGCAGTTTTCTAAAGGTAAAAATGCCTCTATCAGTTTTAATGGATTTAAAAGATAGTAATGAACAAAGAAGGGAAAAGGATTATAAAGATTTAGATGGTGGAAATCCTTCCGTACGTTGTGCATCAATCTCTTTCTTAGATGCCCCTGTGGGTTTTGGCCTTCTACTTCTAGTGTAACAATCTTTCTAGGCCACTTTTTACTGTCCATTCTTTGGAAGTGGCCATACATTTTAATTGACTTATATATATCTTTCCATGTCCTGGATGCTATGGACTCCCAACCTGAATCTTAACTTTTCAGTTGATGTCAAAGAAACAAACTTGACACAGATGTCGCAAAAAGGCCTTACCGACAGTGAGTCGTATTTGCTCGTCCTGCCTGGCCAGACCGTCGTAGTAGTACAGGTCAAACCGCCGCTCGTACTTCCAGTCATTCACCAGTTCCTTCCGCAGACAGAAGAGAACAGAGAAGTGGCTCTCGCTGCACACCACCCAGATAGGGAACCGGGGGGTCTTCATGTACGTACCAACCTGGGGAGGGTTAAAACTTCCTTTTGGTACATTTGAAATTTGCAATATTCTTTAAAACATTTTACATAAGAAAATGGCATGAGAGAAAGAGAAATGTAAAATAATTTATTTGAAAGATATTTGGTTGACCATATTTGTTTCTACATGATTGTGTGAACAGTGGTCCCAAGAAAATAGGGCCTAAATGTCATATGATATTGTCCATTTCTATTGTTTATGATTTGCATTGTTTGATATCACTAAAACAACATTTACAGTGCAAAGTTAAGGTGTAACAGGTCCTTCAGTGTAATATAGCCACTGATGTTGTGCCATGTGCCTGCAATCTGGAGTGTTTTGCCAAAGGGCGGTTATACCGGCTATACTGATACAGAAGCTGGTGTGTTACGCTGAAGGGTGGTTATACCGGCTATACAGATACAGAAGCTGGTGTGTTGCGCCAAAGAGCGGTTATACCGGCTATACAGATACAGAAGCTGGTGTGTTACGCTGAAGGGGGGGTTATACCGGCTATACAGATACAGAAGCTGGTGTGTTACGCCAAAGAGCAGTTATACTGGCTATACAGATACAGATAGAACCTACCTGGCAGGATCCGTAGTGCTCGAACAGTGAGAGCAGTCCGATCTCGCTCCTGGTCCCCACCCCCCTGAGGATCATGGTCTCCCCACCCCCCG